GCCTAGTTTCCAATCCGCTCGTTTATTGTTTATTATCTAAGGGTCTAGGTAGTCGGAAAGGCCGAGTTTCCGATCCGCCTAGTCTCGATATCTTGGTGGTTGGAAAGGCCTAGTTTCCAATCCACGCTATTGTTGATACATCACTATCTTGTAGGCTGCGTTCTACAATAGTCAAATAGCGCGATTTTTTATTAAAAATTTTCGCCTGTGGCGCTTTTTCAATAAAAATCAATACTTCGATAAATAATGAAAATGTTTAATAAAAAATCGCGCGATTTTTTATTAAAACATTTCGCCTGCGGCGCTTTTCCCATAAAAATCAATACTTCGATAAATAATGAAAATTTTTAATAAAAAATCGCGCGATTTTTTATTAAAAATTTTCGCCTGCGGCGCTTTTTCCATAAAAATCAATACTTCGATAACTAATGCACCCCTATGCTGTAATCCGTCGTAGATTCGATTTTGCTACGAATCTTAAAATTGGTATGCTGTAATCCGCGTTGCCGTATCGTAATTTCGAAATTCGGAGACCATCTTCGAAATTCGTAATGTTGGTATGCCTGAATCCGACGTAGCTGTAATTTGTATGTATTTGTCGGAAATTTTCTACGAAGAGCAACTGGTGTCGGAGCGAAGCGAATTCTTTTAAAATATCAATAAAATAAAGTGTGGAAACGCAAAAATATGTATGTAAGTTGAAGTGTGAATAAAAAAACAATGTATTATTAAATGTTTACAAAATTATCAAGTCGACAATCAGAACAAATCGCTCGCAATACGAAAAACTGGTGGAATGCATGAGCGAAAGACCGGACATTGCCCGAGGGTTTGTAATAGTTAAAGAGGATGTGGTGGAATTTTGGGAAAGCGTTGCAAGATTTAAAGCAACACAATATTTAGTTGAATGGACGCCCTTAAAAAGAGGGAGCATATATTTATCATTTAAGCTAAATGGATCAGAACTGTCTTGTAGCAATCTCCTTTGTATATTAATGCAACAGTTGACTGCAGCATGTTCTTCCTCCTGAGACAAAAGTGCACCGGCCACTGAATCCATTCTATTTTACTTAATTACGGAAAAGCTTTGGTAATTCTCTAGGGTGGGGTAACAACCCCTAAAAAAGGTGCGGAAAAGTCGGGAGGGGTACCAAACGACGCGTTTCGGCCCCCCTAATAACAATCCGGGGTGGGCTTTAGTAGTCAGCCGCACCTTGTGTTTTAAGAAAACCAGGTGGAATTAACAAATGAAACTTGGTCAGGATGTTAATCGCGCGATTTTTTATTAAAAATTTTCGCCTGCGGCGCTTTTTCCATAAAAATAAATACTTCGATAAATAATGAAAATTTTTAATAAAAAATCGCGCGATTTTTTATTAAAAATTTTCGCCTGCGGCGCTTTTTCCATAGATATCAATACTTCGATAAATAATGAAAATTTTTAATAAAAAATCGCGCGATTTTTTATTAAAAATTTTCGCCTGCGGCGCTTTTTCTATAAAAATTAATACTTCGATAAATAATGAAAATTTTT